TGCCCTGCCAGCCGCCTTGCTGGTGAGAAGCAGAACAGCCCCTGATTGTGTCAGCCCTGCTCATCAGGAACTAAAACAACCCTGGGTTATCAGGACTTTTTTCAGCACAGATCCCAAACACAGCCCCATACCAGCTACTGGGAGGAAAATTAACTCCATCCCAGTCCAAACCAGCACAGTGTTATTAACACAGCAGTGTGCCAGCTGGATCTAGACCCTCCATGTACATAGATCAACTGATTTTTATAAAAACACATAAGATAAGCTCAAATTACAGCCCTTCTATACAGTCCTCAAATTGAATAATATGAGAAATTTGGGTTCAGAGTGTAATTGTTGCTATTTCTGGGCACAGATTGGATGGCATTCCTCTTCTGACCTTCCTCAGGAGCAGGCAGGATCTCCACCTGAAATAGAGAGTCTGTGACCGGGCAGCAGATGCAATAGTCCACGTAACCTCATCCAGTGCTACTGGTGAGAAGAATAAGCACTTTCACAGCCCAAGAATATCCATTTCTCCCTGTATGTATGAGCTCTATCTGTACCCACTCAGCCTCATGCTGGGAGCCCCTGCTCAAATTGAGGTATCATGGGGGAATGAATCCATTTGCAGGAGAGAGAGGAAGAGCCTGAGAGCCAGGACAGCCCCCGTGAAGCCATGCTTGGCTGCTGTCCTGGACTGGGCACTTCAAAGACTATGCCCAGAGGGGACCTACAAGGCATACGAGGACATTCCCTCACATTTTGCAAAAGAAACAGTGGAAAAAAGTCCCATCCGAGCCACTAATGCACCAGACAGTGACAGCCAGTTCAGCAGTTCTCTGCATATGTGTCAGGGGTCCCATTTTGCTCCAAAGCCCAGGAGTCAGTGACCGGCGTGTGATGTGATATGGACAAGGTGATGGGAGAGGGAAGCATAACAGAAACAGTCAGACACTTGATAGTAGCCTCTGGAGACACCAGTCTTGCGACAAACAGCTGGGACATAACAAATTCAAGATACGCATAATTTAGACTGTTTTCATCATCATCGTCATCATCGTGACTAGGCTTCGCGAACGAAGATTTGGGAAGGACTCTACTCACACTTGCTACAAGCGCGCCGGTGGCTAAAAAGACCAGTGTGAGATAGACAGGTCCGGTTGCAAAAGGCACAGCGGAAGGACTCCTTAGGTGGTATCAACAAGATACGGTTCTCTCTACATTGTCTTTTCTCCTTGTAGTGGGAATGTTGATATTTTTTGGTCTGTGTTTGGCCCCAGCCACCTGTAGTAGTTTATAGTCTCCCTGCCAAGTTCACTGATAAAACAGAGAATTCATCCTTGGAGGGAGAACTTCTGTATAAATCATTTTAATTGGTGTTCTACTATTGGTTCATTGTTTGCCAAGGGCATTTGAAGGAGAAGGTGAGGAAGAGAGGAGGAAGGCTCGACCCTCGACTCAATTAGAAAAGACCCCCGAAGCAGACTGCACATGCGTTAGGGGATTTCCAAAATTCTCACGCATGCACTGAAGGGATGAAGTTATATAACTAAGAGGATGGGATTGAGAGCCTCTGGTGAGGTGGTGCTGGCCACGCCTTCCTGAGCAGAGGTGCTCATTGACTGTATAAAAAGCAGACAGGTTTTTTGGTTCGGGTTCGCTTGCTCTACATGAAGGATCAAGTTGCCTTTAGCGAGGACGCCTGCTGTCGCGGGAGCCTGCTAACCCTCCGGAAAACGCTGCTGCTGCAGAGGGTTTTATAGTCTTTGGAGTGGGTAAGATCATCTCATAAATGACACTTAGGTCAGTAGGGTGTCGTACTTTCCTCTTTAGTTTTCCCCTTCTCCCGAGTGCCCGTTTCTTTTTTGTTAGCCACCTTTTGTAATAAATATTTGCGTTACTGCGTTCCAACGGTGTCTGGGTTTTCAAGTTTCAGTATGTCTCGAACCCTCCCTAATACAGTCCTCGAGAGTGATCCTGCGTGCGTTCTCAAAAGAAGCCGCAGCGTTACAGATAGCGTGTCTCCAGACCTCCCGATTGGAGACCAGAGTAGACCAACGATGATGATCGATATGGCCATAAGACATTCATATCTGCCCATACCCGCTGCTGGCATGGCTGGAGAAAGAACATGAATTTCACACTGAGGGCTCCTCTGACATCAGATTACAGGAAATAACCACAAGCCAAATATTAGCCCTCAATAAGACAGACAAATTATATGTGATACTTTCATTGGACTAATAATAAAAGGCTAGTAGAAGGCTACCAGAGCTCTGCTTCATATGTTACAGATTATGATTAATTACAGATTCAAATCTTTGTACGGAGAGATCAGAGCCTTTCGCTTTTCAGAGGGAAAAAGCTCCAGTTGATTTGATGGATCAAGCCATAAAACTAATGCACCAGAGGGGCTTATCCTGGGTCCCAAGGGTTCATCCTGAGTCCCAGGGGTAAGGAACACACGTCCCTTTGGGTGTGAGGAAAGCTATTGATTCAGAGGCTGAACCTTCTGCCACGTGTGCTCGTGTGTATCAGGAACAGGACTGCCAAGTCAAGGGCGTAAAAATGATAGGATGCAACAGAGAGAGGCCAGGGAAATGGCCTGGGACCACTGATCTGGAAGGATGGAGAAGATAATTTGATCTTATCTGCATCCGCTTTGAGCAACCTCTACCAGCCTGCCTGGACTGTGTGAGAGGTGAGGTTCACCTCTGGTCGCTCTGTCACTGTTTTGCAGCCAGTTCTTGCCTTCCAGGGTTTCCAACAGACCATAAGAGAAGGCATAAGACAGCACAGGGCTGGGGCCATCTTAGTTACAGCCAAGGCTGCTCAGAGAAGTCCCTAAATGGCCTTCTCTTTCTGGGCCCCAGGCTGGTCCTAACCCAGCCACCGAGCAACTCAAGGTGAGAGAAGGATAGAGAAAGAAGAAACAATGTGAAAAACACATCACTGACTATGGGGGACGAACAGTTAAAAAAGGGCAGGGGTGTGAGAAGAAAAGATTTGCAAATGGCTTGAGCAGGCACTGGAGGGGTATATGGCACCCAGTGAGGAGGCACCTTGAAGATCCTTTATTCCTCCTCAAGGATGGAAACAGAAAAACAAAACAAAATGGTAAGAAAGACGCTAATATGAATCCTCTATCCCTTTCCATGTGGCCTCAGCAAATCTCACTCTGTTGCCACGTGCCAAGAGCTTTGAGATGTTCCACCAGAGAGGCCTTGTGCTCACTCCTGCTCAGTATGGCCCTGAGCTGAACAGGCTAGTTGTCATCCACTTCCAGGAATGTTCTGCCCAGAAAAGGCAGTGATGTAAACATCTGCTGTGGGCTGAGAGCTTAGAGACTGCATGGACTTGATCTCGCCATGAAGAATTTCTTTTTCCTTGTTGGAATGGGGAAAGGAATTCCTTATACTTAGAGGCACCGATGTTGAAATGAGCATGATCGACTATGGGAGAGCAGCTTTTATGGGCTGCGAGGAAAACATTGAAGGGCAGATCGTTGGAGAAAGGCAGTTCCTTAAGCCTCTGATCCTGACGAGCATCCACTTGCAGGGAAGCCCTGAAGAACGGGCTGAGCTTTCCTCCTTATCCTTGAACTTCAGTACAGGCTTGCACAGTTTTCACCAGGCACGGGATGGTTTAGCGAGAATGACTAACTGGGTTGTTTCCAGTGAGTCTTACATGCGCCTCTGTAGGTGCCAGCACAGACAATTCCAAGTGAATATCCATATCAAGGGGTTTTAAATTTGATCCAGAGAATTGTTATCCTTTGGGGAGAACAGGAACGAAAAATAACAGAATGCAGCTGTAGTGGGAAGAGAAGCTTTGGGATCAGACACTACAACCTGCAGTTATCTCAAAGTAGACACAAATGACTTAAAGGAATGGATTATTTTACATTTCAAGTCTTTGGTAGAATTCATCTTTCGTTTCCGGGGGGAGGGGC